CAGGGCTGGCTGGGGAATTCTGGGAGTTGAAGTTCACACGTCTTAAAGTTGCCAAGGTTGAGAAACACTGATCTATACTATTGTAATAATGCTTTAAAAAAAACAGATGAACTGCAGTGGCATGGCTGAATCAAAGCCACCCTCAGGAATTACCATTCTCAACTCACACTGTTCAATCGATGTTCCTCCTGGAGGGAACACGCAGCTTTGATGTGTAACGCCGCGTCATTAAGGGAGGCAGCACCGTCCTCGAGCAATTGAGGCAACACGCAAAGGCTTTGCCCCCAGGAGCTTACAGATTAAGACTACAGAGGAAAGGACAGAGCGAGTTGGAGGCCCTCCTTGAACGGAAGAGACATTCTGAAGACCTCTGGGTGACGTTTCTTCAGCTCCATCCTTTGCACAAAGCCGACTGAGATAAGAAGGAATGAATGAGCAAAGCTCATGGGCTCCTGTTCAAGAATCCCCAAGGGGATCGGGGCCCTGGGGAGCAACGTTCAGGCCATTCAAGCCGTGACCTGTTGGCTTTGGGGCAACCCAGCAGGCAACTTCGCTTTCTTCCCACCATTCAAACTGTGGGATATTGCTGCAGAGAAAAACATGATACGCTGCCCGGATTGTAGTTCCGTAAGCCTCCCTGCCTGGGAGCAGTTCTTCTGCCCTTGGGATGTCCTGCCTACCTCACATGGTTGTTGTGAAACTGATATGGCTTCTTGCTTTTGAAAAAAAAAATAGAAAACAAAGGCCATATTGGAATGGCAATATGGAAGCAGATTCTCCCCAAGTCTTTTCCCACTTGGCCTGAACTTAATTGACCGCAGAAAATTAAGACCTTGACCCATTCCTCTTCTGGTTCTTCAGCAGTGCAGCTGCTGAAAACAAACCATTTGCTTTGATTTCTATATTGGGGATGGGCCCCTGTTTTTCCATCCGGGGCTGCATTCCCTTTGGGATAAGCTGTGGCTTCAGGGTGGGACGGCGGTGACACAGAGCAACAGGTGGTTTTAGCACTGCCAAAGGTTGGGCCACCAATCTAAGATCCCTTCTGTCTTTTTCTGACCCCCTCATCCAGTGTTGCTCAACCTCGGCAATGTTAAGATGGGTGGACTTCAACTCCCAGAGTTCCCC